ATAATAACATAAATGATACAATAAACAAAAATAATGATACAACAAACTTACCGCCATCAGTGACAACCTCATCTCTGTTACTAAATATAAATATTACATTAAATACTAATAAATAATATATGATTAAAAATGTCAGTTTTATAGCTAATTATCAGTATACGAAGAAAGAATTGCATCCGTTACAGGACCCAGTAATGCTTTCTCTGCCATTCATTGTATTATGTGGTTTATAATGAATAGAAGGATTAGAATGGAGTATAAACACAACATAAACTCGCTGTCATGCCATCATTTCTATGGGGGGGGCGGGGCTTTTGTTTCAATCATTGTAATCACTAATAACTATCGATCTATTGCATACAGTGCGGAACTCCACCTACAACCCCTCCCCTGTACAGCTGTCTTCCGCTGGCCAATCACACCATTGAGCCTTCTGATCTGTAAGGAGGGTTGAAGTACAACACGGAAGCATCCGGGAAGCCACGCCCAGTACACCCAGGGAAGCTCAGCCTGGGTTTGGAAGGCGGTTCCAAAGGGTCACTTCCGGTCAGAGGGAGGTAGCAGGACAGGGGCTCAGTGGGCGGGGTTTGCCTAGTCCTGGTTCCTGGGGTGACAGGTAGGCTCCCCCTTTTTTTTCTCCTCTGTCATGGCGGACAGGACCCTGCTGGGCTCTGTGGAGGGTCACAGCCGGCTGTGTTTAGTATCATGAGCTTTGTGCCCTCACAGCCTGAAAGGAGAACTGTCTGTGCTGTCAGGGGAAGCCAGTCAGAGTCTTCCCTTTGTTCTGTCGATGCATTTTGGAACATGAATGGGGGGAGATGACTGGTTGCTGTGGGTGGCACAGTTCAGTATAGGCTGCGGTGTGTCTGGAGCAGAAGCAGAGCTGTTGCCGATGGCAACCAGTGATGTTGCATCAACCACTTCGCCCCCCAGGCCTTCCTTTGACACTTTTTTGTTTACAAAAATCAATATTTCTTTAAAAATATTTTTAATATTTAAAAAAAAAATTAGTTAAAAGCCCCAAACATGAGACAATAAATTGCCGGGTTTTTACCATTTTTTAATGTCATGCGGTATTTGCGCAGCAGTTTTTCAAACACAATTTTTGGGGAAAAAAATTAAAAATTTTTTTTTTATTTTAATGCTTTTGGGAAAAAAAATATTTTTTTTCATTTTTATGCAAAAAAAACCCAAAAAAAAACAACCCAATGCATAACCCATTTTTGTAAAATATAAAAGAGGATGTTACGCAGAGTAAATAGATACCAAACATGTCGCACTTTAAAATTGCGACCATCCAACAGCGACAAGCGACTTAAATTTTACTATCCACAGGCGACGCTTTGAAAGCCTTTACAGGTCACCACTTCAGATTTACAGAGGAGGGCTGAAGGTAGAATTACTGCCCAGGATTGGATGTTCGCTGTAATACCTTACATGTGTGGGACGATTGCTGTTTGTGTGTGTGCGGGACCAACACGTGTATTCACCTTTGCACGCGCGCGCATAGGGGGGATGGGGACACGTTAATAGTTTTTTTTTTATAATTCGTAATTTATTTTTTACACTGTTACTTGATTTTTTTCTTTAATTATGAATTTATTTTATTTATTTTCACTCTTTTGCTTACTTTTTTTTAGTTATTAATTTATTTTAATATTTTCATACTGTTGCTTAAATTTTTATTGTTAGTTATTCATTTATCTTATTATTTTCTCACCGTTGCTTACATTTTTTTAGGTATTCATTTATTTTAATATGTTCACACTGTTGTTTACATTTTTATTGTAGTTATTTATTTTATTATTTTTACACTGTTGCTTACTTTTTTCTTTTTGTTATTCATTTATTTTATTATTTTCACACTGTTGCTTACATTTTTTTTTTGTAGTTATTCATTTATTTTATTATTTTCAAGGTTGCTTTTAAGTTTTTTTTTATTTAATTTTACACTGGTGCTTTAATTTTTTTTTTTACTTTCATTAATTTTTAAATTTTTTTTTACACTGCTGCTTTTAATTTTTTTTTTAATTTATAGCAATATTTTTTTTTTACACTGCTGCTTTAAATTAGTTTTTTCTTTCATTACAAATTTATTACATTTTTTTTTTTTACATTGTTGCTTTAACCAGTTGCAGCCCGGCCAATATCACAAAGGCAGCCGGGCGAGCAGCTTGTCCCTTCGGGTGGACGCCAGATGGCGTCATTCCAGGCATGGGCATTGCGCCTGCCCGCAGGGCCGCCCTGCGGTATGATCTGTCACCGGCCGTGTACCTCGGACACGGCTGATGACAGATATGAGTACCGACCCATTGCCAGTACCATGTGACCTGCTGTGACCAATCACAGCAGGTCACATGACAGTTGTATACAATGGGTGGCTTCCTTTCATGCCATCCATTGTATACAAGTGTGTCTAGCTGTGAATGGTCACAGCGATCACATGCACAAGCTGGGCCAATCACAGCCCATCTGTATCGGGATTATCCGTGGCCAATCACAGCTAAACACAAAAAAAAAAAAAAACCTGAATGATTATAATTTTTTTTTTTCGTACTGTCACCAGTCAGTGTCCTTGATCACCGCCACACCAGTTATATGATGACACTGTACTGCACTGGTGACAGGATGTAAAAAAAAAAAATAGTAAAAATAATTTTTTTCAGTTTTTCATTTTCCGAAAATATTTTGACAAAAAAATTACAACTTCAAAAAACTCGCCATGCCTCTTATGAAATACGTCGGACTGTCTACTTTGTAAAAGGGGTCATTTGGGGGGTATCTGTAATGTTCTGACATTTGGGGGGTATCTGTACTGTTCTGACATTTGGGGGGTATCTGTACTGTCCTGACATTTGGGGGATATCTGTACCGTTATGACATTTGGGGGATAACTGTACCGTTCTGACATTTGGGGGATATCTGTACTGTCCTGACATTTGGGGGATATCTGTACCATTATGACATTTGGGGGATATCTGTACCGTTCTGACATTTGGGGGATATCTGTACTGTCCTGACATTTGGGGGATATCTGTACCGTTATGACATTTGGGGGATATCTGTACCGTCCTGACATTTGGGGGGATATCTGTACTGTTCTGACATTTGGGGGATATCTGTACCGTTCTGACATTTGGGGGGATATCTGTACTGTTCTGACATTTGGGGGATATCTGTACTGTTCTGACATTTGGGGGGTATCTGTACCGTTCTGACATTTGGGGGATATCTGTACCGTCCTGACATTTGGGGGAATATCTGTACTGTTCGACATCCTGACACATTTGGGGGGATATCTGTACTGTTCTGACATTTGGGGGATATCTGTACTGTCTGACATTTGGGGGGATATCTGTATGTTCTGACTACTGTACTGTTCTGACATTTGGGGGATATCTGTACTGTTCTGACATTTGGGGGATATCTGTACTGTTCTGACATTTGGGGGATATCTGTACTGTTCTGACATTTGGGGGGATATCTGTACTGTTCTGACATTTGGGGGATATCTGTACTGTTCTGACATTTGGGGGGATATCTGTACTGTTCTGACATTTGGGGGGATATCTGTACTGTTCTGACATTTGGGGAATATCTGTACTGTTCTGACATTTGGCTGTACCGTTCTGACATTTGGGGATATCTGTACTGTCCTGACATTTTGGGGGTATCTGTACCATTATGACATTTGGCGGATATCTGTACCGTTCTGACATTTGGGGGATATCTGTACCGTCCTGACATTTGGGGGGATATCTGTACTGTTCTGACATTTTGGGGATATCTGTACCGTTCTGACATTTGGGGGGATATCTGTACTGTTCTGACATTTGGGGGATATCTGTACTGTTCTGACATTTGGGGGGTATCTGTATCGTTCTGACATTTGGGGGATATCTGTACTGTTCTGACATTTGGGGGGTATCTGTACCGTTCTGACATTTGGGGGATATCTGTACCGTCCTGATTTGGGGAATATCTGTACCGTCCTGACATTTGGGGGGATATCTGTACTGTTCTGACATTTGGGGGGATATCTGTACCGTCCTGACATTTGGGGGATATCTCTACTGTTCTGACATTTGGGGGATATCTGTACTGTTCTGACATTTGGGGGGATATCTGTACTGTTCTGACATTTGGGGGGATATCTGTACTGTTCTGACATTTGGGGGGATATCTGTACTGTTCTGACATTTGGGGGATATCTGTACTGTTCTGACATTTGGGGGGATATCTGTACTGTTCTGACATTTGGGGAATATCTGTACTGTTCTGACATTTGGGGAATATCTGTACTGTTCTGACATTTGGCGGATATCTGTACTGTCTTGACATTTGGGGGGATATCTATACTGTTCTGACATTTGGGGGATATCTGTCCCGTCCTGACATTTGGGGGATATCTGTCCCGTTCTGACATTTGGGGGATATCTGTACTGTTCTGACATTTGGGGGGATATCTGTACTGTTCTGACATTTGGGGGATATCTGTACTGTTCTGACATTTGGGGGGATATCTGTACTGTTCTGACATTTGGGGGATATCTGTACTGTTCTGACATTTGGGGGATATCTGTACTGTTCTGACATTTGGGGGGATATCTGTTCTGACTGTTCTGACATTTGGGGATATCTGTACTGTCCTGACATTTGGGTGATATCTGTACCATTATGACATTTGGGGGATATCTGTACCGTTCTGACATTTGGGGGATATCTGTACCGTTCTGACATTTGGGGGATATCTGTACCGTCCTGACATTTGGGGGGATATCTGTACTGTTCTGACATTTGGGGGATATCTGTACCGTTCTGACATTTGGGGGGATATCTGTACTGTTCTGACATTTGGGGGATATCTGTACTGTTCTGACATTTGGGGGGTATCTGTACCGTTCTGACATTTGGGGGATATCTGTACCGTCCTGACATTTGGGGGGATATCTGTACCGTCCTGACATTTGGGGGGATATCTGTACTGTTCTGACATTTGGGGGGATATCTGTACTGTTCTGACATTTGGGGGATATCTGTACTGTTCTGACATTTGGGGGGATATCTGTACTGTTCTGACATTTGGGGGATATCTGTACTGTTCTGACATTTGGGGGGATATCTGTACTGTTCTGACATTTGGGGGATATCTGTACTGTTCTGACATTTGGGGGGATATCTGTACTGTTCTGACATTTGGGGAATATCTGTACTGTTCTGACATTTGGCGGATATCTGTACTGTCTTGACATTTGGGGGGATATCTATACTGTTCTGACATTTGGGGGATATCTGTCCCGTCCTGACATTTGGGGGATATCTGTCCCGTTCTGACATTTGGGGGATATCTGTCCCGTCCTGACATTTGGGGGGATATCTGTACTGCTCTGACATTTGGGGGGATATCTGTACCATCCTGACATTTGGGGGATATCTGTACCGTCCTGACATTTGGGGGGATATCTGTACTGTTCTGACATTCCTGGACCTCAAGGAATTAGATTGGCTGTCAGTACTCCAGGATTGATCAATTTTCAGATATATCCCATAGTTTGTGAACTCATATAACTTCCTACAGACTGAATAATACATCCTAATTTGGGTTATTTTCACCAAAGACATGTAGCAGAATACATCTCGGCCTAAATTTATGAAGAACAATTATTTATTTGCAAACTTTTATAACAGAAACAAAGAAAACATGTTTCTTTTTCATAATTTTGCGGTGTTTTTTTGTTAATTTAGCAAAAAATAAAAACCCCAGCGGTGATTAAATACCACCAAAAGAAAGCTCTAGTTGTGTGAAGAAAGTAATAACATTTTAGTTTGGGTACAATGTTGTATGACCGCGCAATTGTCATTCAAAGTGTGAGAGTGTTGAAACCTGAAAAATGGCCAGGGCAGGAAGGGGGTAAAAGTGCCCGGTATGGAAGCGGTTAAAAAAATAAATGAATTATTCTGTTTTTTTATTTTCACACTGTTGCTTTAATTTTTTTTAATTTATTTAATTTTATGAATGAATGAATTTATTTTTTTACTTTTACACTGGTGCCTATTTTTTTTTTAATGAATTAATTAGTAAAATGTTTACACTGTTGCTTTTAATTTAGATAAGACCCCAAATCACTCCTCTGCATTCACAACACCAAGATTGGTGATTTTAGATGCAGGGCTGGAGAGGAAGAAGCAGCACAAGGAGCCAATCTGTTCCTGTGCTGGGAAGAAGCACTCTGATAGGAGGAGACGGCAGAGAGATGAGAGAGGAAGAAGCAGCACAAGGAGCCAATCAGTTCATGTGCTGGGAAGAAGCACTCTGATAGGAGGAGACGGCAGAGAGACGAGAGAGAAAGAAGCAGCACAATGAGCCAATCAGTTCATGTGCTGGGAAGAAGCACTCTGATAGGAGGAGACGGCGGAGAGACGAGAGAGGAAGAAGCAGCACAAGGAGCCAATCAGTTCATGTGCTGGGAAGAAGCACTCTGATAGGAGGAGACGGCTGAGAGACGAGAGAGGAAAAAGCAGCACAAGGAGCCAATCAGTTCCTGTGCTGGGAAGAAGCACTCTGATAAGAGGAGACGGCGGAGAGACGAGAGAGGAAGAAGCAGCACAAGGAGCCAGTCAGTTCATGTGCTGGGAAGAAGCACTCTGATAGGAGGAGATGGCAGAGAGACGAGAGAGAAAGAAGCAGCACAAGGAGCCAATCCGTTTATGTGCTGGGAAGAAGCACTCTGATAGGAGGAGACAGCAGAGAGATGAGCTCAATTTTGTGCTGCCTCACCTTTCTGTCCAATGGGTCCATGACTTCGCTTAGAAGTGCACAATAATAAAATATAAAAGACGAGTAAATCGATACCCAACATGTCAAACCTTACAATTTAGTGACAGTACCCTGTGTTTCCCATAGGTGACGCTGTAAAAGCCCCCTATAGGCCATCAGTTTGGCTACACGGAGAAGGTCTGGTGCTAGATTTATTGCTCTCACTGCGGCGTGCGTGGCGATACGTGACATGTCTATCACAATTGATGTCTTCATGTGTAGGTCCCCCTATGTATGTATACAACGCCTTGAAAAAGTCTTCACACCCCTTGAAATGACCCCATGTTGTCATGTTACAATGTATTTATTGGGATTGGATGTGATAGACCAGCTGTTCTCAACCTGGGGGTCGCGACCCCTTTGGGGGTCGAACGACCATTTCCCAGGGGTCGCCTAAGACCATGGAAAACACATATTTCCGATGGTCTTAGGAACCGAGACACCGCTGCTGTCTCCGGCGATGTGTGGGCGGGATGATACGCTGCTCCTGTCACCTGGCCACACCTCCGGGATCGCTCAGCAGCTCCGCCTCCTCGCCGCTGATTGGCCACCGGAACTGTAGCTCAGGAGAGGCACACAGGCGGCCAATCACCGGCGAGGAGGTGGAGCTTGGAGAGGAGGAGCCGAGCGGCAGCGCGCGTACATCAAAGAAGACCGAGGGAGCTGCCGGAGCGAGTGAAGAGGAGAGCGGCCAGAGAAGGAAGACAGCTGACAGGTAAGTGAGAGAGCGAGCCCAGGCTGGAGCAGGGGTCAGCAAAGTAAGTATCATTGGTGTCAGTGGGAGGAATAGTGCCCCATCATTTGTGTCACTAATACCAACGATGGGGCACTATTCCTCCCCCCACTGACACCAACGATGGGGCACTATTCCTCTCCCCACTGACACCAACGATGGGGCACTATTCCTCCCCCCACTGACACCAACGATGGGGCACTATTCCTCCCCCCACTGACACCAACGATGTGGCACTATTCCTCCCCCCACTGACACCAACGATGTGGCACTATTCCTCCCCCCACTGACACCAACGATGTGGCACTATTCCTCCCCCCACTGACACCAACGATGGGGCACTATTCCTCCCCCCACTGACACCAACGATGGGACAGTATTCCTCCCCCCACTGACACCAACGATGGGGCAGTATTCCTCCCCCCACTGACACCAACGATGGGGCAGTATTCCTCCCCCCACTGACACCAACGATGGGGCACTATTCCTCCCCCCACTGACACCAACGATGGGGCACTATTCCTCCCCCCACTGACACCAACGATGTGGCACTATTCCTCCCCCCACTGACACCAACGATATGGCACTATTCCTCCCCCCACTGACACCAACGATGGGGCACTATTCCTCCCCCCACTGACACCAACGATGGGGCACTATTCCTCCCCCCACTGACACCAACGATGGGGCACTATTCCTCCCCCCACTGACACCAACGATGGGGCACTATTCCTCCCCCCACTGACACCAACGATGGGGCACTATTCCTCCCCCCACTGACACCAACGATGGGGCACTATTCCTCCCCCCACTGACACCAACGATGGGGCACTATTCCTCCCCCCACTGACACCAACGATGGGGCACTATTCCTCCCCCACTGACACCAACGATGGGGCACTATTTCCCCCCCCCCTGACCCCAATGATGGGGCACTATTCTCCCCTCCACCACACTGACATCAATGATGGGGCACTATTCCTCCCACTGACACCAATGATGGGGCACTATTCCTCCCACTGACACCAATGATGTGGCACTATTCCTCCCACTGACACCAGTGATGGGGCACTACTCCCATTGACACCAGTGATGGGGCACTACTCCCCCCACTGACACCAGTGATGGGGCACTACTCCCCACTGACACCAGTGATGGGGCACTATTCCTCCCACTGACACCAATGATGGGGCACTACTCCCCCCACTGACACCAATGATGGGGCACTACTCCCCCCACTGACACCAATGATGGGGCACTATTCCTCCCACTGACACCAATGATGTGGCACTATTCCTCCCACTGACACCAGTGATGGAGCACTACTCCTCCCACTGACACCAGTGATGGGGCACTACTCCCCCCACTGACACCAGTGATGGAACACTACTCCCCCCACTGACACCAATGATGGGGCACTACTCCCCCCACTGACACCAATGATGGGGCACTACTCCTCCCACTGACACCAATGATGGGGCACTACTCCCCCCACTGACACCAATGATGGGGCACTACTCCTCCCACTGACACAATGATGGGGCACTATTCCTCCCACTGACACCAATGATGGGGGCACTATTCCTCCCACTGACTCCAACGATGGGGCACTATTCCTCCCACTGATACCAACGATGGGGCACTATTCCTCCCACTGACACCAACAATGGGGCACTATTCCTCCCACTGATACCAACGATGGGGCACTATTCCTCCCACTGACACCAACGATGGGGCACTATTCCTCCCACTGACACCAACGATGGGGCACTATTCCTCCCACTGACACCAACGATGGGGCACTATTCCTCCCACTGACACCAACGATGGGGCACTATTCCTCCCACTGATACCAACGATGGGGCACTATTCCTCCCACTGACACCAACGATGGGGCACTATTCCTCCCACTGACACCAACGATGGGGCACTATTCCTCCCACTGACACCAACGATGGGGCACTATTCCTCCCACTGACACCAGTGATGGGGCACTATTCCTCCCACTGACACCAGTGATGGGGCACTATTCCTCCCACTGATACCAACGATGGGGCACTATGCATCCCACTGACATCAGTGATGGGGCACTATTCCTCCCACTGACACCAGTGATGGGGCACTATTCCTCCCACTGACACCAGTGATGGGGCACTATTCATCCCACTGACATCAGTGATGGGGCACTATTCATCCCACTGACACCAACGATGGGGCACTATTCCTCCCACTGATACCAACGATGGGGCACTATTCCTCCCACTGATACCAATGATGGGGCACTATTCATCCCACTGACATCAGTGATGGGGCACTACTCCTTCCACTGACACCAATGACATGGCACTACTCCTCCCACTGCAAAATGACAGTTATGAAGTAGCAATGAAAATAATTTTATGGTTGGGGGTCACCACAACATGAGGAACTGTATTAAGGGGTCGCGGCATTAGAAAGGTTGAGAACCACTGTGATAGACCAACACAAAGTGGCACATGATTGTGAAGTGGAAGGAAAATGAGAAATGGTTTTCAACATTTGTGACCAATAAATCTGTGAACAGTGTGGCGTACATTTGTATTCAGCCCCCCGGAGTCAATACTTTGTAGGACCACCTTTGGCTGCAATGCCAGCTGCAAGTCTTTTTGGGGATGTCTCTGCACATCTAGAGAGGGACATTTCTGCCCATTCTTCTTTGCAGAATCACTTAAGCTCTCTCAGATTGGATAGAGGGCGTCTGTGAACAGCAATTTTCAGGTCTGGCCACAGATTCTCCATTGGATTTGGGTCTGGACTGTGACTGGGCAATTCTAACACATGAATATGCTTTGATCTAAACCATTCCATTGTAGCTCTGGCTGGATGTTTCAGGTCGTTGTCCTGCTGGAAGGGGAACCTCCG